AATATTGACTTTTACATCGACCCATGAATCTTTTTTTATTATTATTATTGGGGAACAATGTGTTTTTCTAGGACCCATCAGCTCCAAGTCAAGCAGTTGTTTCAGTCTAGTTGTGGAGGGTGCAACTCAGTGGCCCATGCAGGGATCAAACCGACAACCTTGGCGTCTTGAGCACTGCACTCTAACCAATTGAGCTAACCGGCTGCCCCTGACCCATCAATCTTTAGTATAGACACTTAATTCATACATCTATGCCAGAAGGTCTGATTATCATTCTACTGGTAACCTTACAGTTGCCAAATAAATACATATGCTGACCAGCCTACTTCAGTATCATATCTAGTTTCCAGCAAAACATTATATCCATTTCCGATTTTAGAATCCCATAGAGTTCCTATTTCTAATTGATTTACTTTCTAATTTGTTGTCTGTCTTGCAGAATCCATCACTCACGGCTTCATTTCTGAGTAGCATTACCTTTAGTTGGTATGACAGGTAGGAAATGCCTGAAGAATGGGTCATCTCTATCCCTACCCTCTCACTCTTCTGAAAGTGGTGGAAATCTTAATTTTTAAAAATGCCTCCTGTGGCCTCCATTCCTCCTCTACTTAGAGCCAGAGAATGTTAAAAGTTATGGGTCAATTTATTTTAGTTCCTTCCCTGGGCAGATTGGGACGCTGAGGAGAAAGAAGATGGAGGGAGATTTGCTCTTGGTAGCCTGGGGGTTTAATGGAGAAAAGGCGGGGGGGGGGCAGTAAGAAAAGGAGAGAGTGGGACCAGAAAGAGGAAATGTGGAGGCAGGCAGTGCGGCACAAACCTGGAGGCTAAGGGATAAAATAGCTGGCCTGGGCTCCCAGAATATCTGAAGCAGCCATTTTTGTCCTTTGTAGTTTCATGGACCCTTTGGGCTGGTAACACCCGTGAATCCCTTCTCAGATAATGTTTTAAATGCATACAATAATAAAAGACATAGTATTATAAAGGAAAACAAATATATTGAAATATAGTTACTTAATTTAAAAAACAAACAAACCCCAAATGTGTGCTATAATAAGACAAGTGCTTCTTTATTAATGCATTAAATAACAAGACCTCGTGATGGGTCTAATAATGACCATACAAAGTAGTAATGAGTATAAAAGAGCCACGAGAACATCTATGATTTCTCCCAGTGACAAAAGCACAGTTACTCCTTCTTACAACTCTGGTTGGTTACCTACGCTTATGTTAGAAGGAAAGGCTAAATATCAGTTAGAAGCTATTAAAAATAAAGATGTGATGTATTTTCCATCCATATTCTCAAACCTCAGGTTGGGGAGCCCTGATCTAGAGAGAAAGTATGGAAGCAGCTTCCAGGTCTGCTCGGTTCCTTAAGGGCATGGAGGAGGCCTCTCAGGGAGAGCCCGGAGCAGCAGAGAGGCAGCCAGTGTTTCAGGAGGAAGGAGCAGGGGCAGGGGCAGGGGGAGGCGATGCTCTTTTGGCTCTTAGTTCAGTTGTGCCCCCATCACTTCCCTTCCTCTTGTCTTCTACCACCTTCTGTCACCCCCCCCACACCTGATCCCTTTCCTGCTCTCCCCACTCCTTTGTCAAGTTCAGGGGGTCAGGAGATGGGGGAGTGAGGCAACGGAAAAGGCTCATTCTTCTGCCCCTCCATCCTGGAACTGGGAGGCAGGCTTGGATAGAAGCATCAGGGAGACAGCCTGTGACCCAGCCTGTGGGAACTCAGCCTGTGGGTCATTCTTGTTTCAGCATTATTCTGAAAGGCTACAAGCATCCTCTGACACTCGAAGATGTCTGGGATGTTGATGAAGACATTCAAACCACGACACTGGTCAGCAAATTTGAAACGTGTATGGCAAGAGAGCTGCCCAAGGCCAGGCGGGCATTCCAGAAAAGGCAGCAGAAGAACGCCCAGCGGAGCTCTGGAGCCAGGTTGCATGGCCTGACCAAGAACCAGAGTCAAAGCCAAGATGTCCTTGTCCTGGTAACTTTCCCATGAGGATCTGTGTGAATGTGCTGTCTGTCTCAGGCAAGAGGACATCAATGTCATGGGGATTTTTGTCCTCACATTTTTTACAGCACTTTATATTTTGCAGTGCATTTCATATTATTAGTAGGAGTCACAATACTAATACCTTAGTGATGGATTCATGGGAGTATAAAGCACTATTAGCTCTCCTTTGGGGTATACTTGAAATTTTCTATAATAAATTGTTTTTAAAAATAGAAAAATAAAATAATACCTTAGCATTACTAGAATTTGTGCCTTGGTGGGCTTTAGCATTAAGCAGTTAATTCATTTACTTTTTCACTTGGAAATATGTATTGAGAGCCACTGAGTGTCGCCAAACCCTGTACAAAATAGGCATGAGGGCTCAGGGGCTTAACACCCTGGAGCCGTTCAGTGCAGGACAAAGTCTTACATCCGCAGCTCTGCGGACTCTGCTGTTGTTTGGTTTCACGCCTAGGAGGAAGCTAAAAAGAAAAAAAAGGAGTCTGGAACCACGGAAGACTTTCCCAAGTCCTGGCTAATCAAGACCCTCTTCAAAACCTTCTACGTCATACTCCTGAAGTCGTTCCTGCTGAAGCTAGTGCATGACATCCTCATGTTCCTGAATCCCCAGCTGCTGAAGTGAGTCTCCAAGCCTGGCGCTGCCTCGGGACCTTCTTGGGCACTCTTCTTTTTGCCCCTTGTAGATGCAGCCAGGAGCTTATTCTTAAATTCCATTTTTATAAAATGCTCACAATTTTCTTTCACCTCACAGCGCTGTATTCATGAAAAGCACAAGGCAGCTTTCAAAATCTAAGATGATGTGTCCTTTAGCCTCCTTCTTTGCCACGTTGCCCATCCCCCCACCCCCATAGGAAGCCAGGTACTCGTTAGGGGCTCTGTATGTTAAACAGAACTGCTGTGGGCTGAGCCCCATCCAGGAGGTGGCCAGCATACCCCAGGAGAGCCTTGTACCTCGGGTCTGTAACCTAATCACTCTACGGTCACAGCCTTCAATGGGAGGTTCAGGTTAATCATGACAAGACGTTCCAGTCTGCCGGCATCTATGGAATGAACCATCCTCCAGGGGAAACCCTTCTAACTCATGCTGCATCCGTATCCTGCTTCGTTTCCAGGCTTGCATGACCTGGGAACGAACCGCCTTGTCCCCCACAGCCTCTTTGACCAGTGGTTGTGGGAGACAGGGGCATTGCAGTGGCAGCTCTGTGGAGCATTCGTTATCCCTTCTCGTAGCCGTGGACCATCCACCCTCAGCCCTCGCTGCTCATCTCCAAGCCAAAGCAAGAGGGCTGGCATGACTATGGCACTCAGTCTTCCAAGAGCGTTGGAATTCTGGTCACTTTTTTTTTTTTTAACCTACAAGGCAGGGTAAGGTAGCTGGTGTTGCACGAGGAGGCCTGGGAGGCTTTATAGGCATCGCTTGGTTTTTCTCTGGCAGGTTGCTGATCTCCTTCGCAAACGACCCTGACACCTATTTGTGGACTGGATATCTCTATTCAGTCCTTTTATTCGTTGTGGCCCTCATCCAGTCTCTTTGCCTCCAGTATTACTTTGAACTGTGCTTCAAGCTGGGTATAAACGTACGGACAACCATCATGGCTTCTGTATATAAAAAGGTAAGTGGAATTTACTTACAAAGAGTCAGGCATCACCAAATAAATCCTTTAGTCAATGTGATTTTGACTAACCATCGAGCCTTCTTTAGATGTTTCTTTGGAAGTTAAAATATGAAAAGTGTGTACGTAGGCAGAGGGTGTGGGGGATGTACTCCAGAGAAGAGCTGGCAAGCTGGTCTTTGCCCAGGATCTGCCTCTCAACCGTAAAGGCTTGTACATCTATCTCTCTCCTCCTACCGCTCTCGACAAGGTGGGAACACCTTGGGAAAGAATGTAAAATCGGAAAAGAAGCTGGCCAGGGGCAGACTCTTAAAACTACCAACATTTACATTTAAACCCAGTACTACATGAAACTCAGACCTGATGCGTCCATCTCAAATTATAATTTTGCCATAGACTAGAGTCTATGGACCAGGGCTCCATCCGCCTTGCTGAAGTGAGTCCCTGAGCCTTGGGTTCCCTCAGGGACCTACTTATGCCGAGCAACTTCATTTTCTAAATCTTTAGTGGCTGACCAACCCCTCCTCTGCCTGACTTGTGTGTTCAGTTTGTAAATACATTCACTCTGCTTGCTGAGTTCTGCAGACTTGCGAGCTTTTCCATTTCCTTAAGGTGATTTTGCTCATCTTCCCTCTGAACGTTTAACTTTCTCAAGGCAGTTGTATTTTCCTTATATCCTAGATCCCAAGGTGAAGTCTCCTTTTGTCCCGTAAGAAAGAAAGCAGAGTCAATTATATCTCAATAGAAAAAGAAATCAATAAAAAGAAAAACTGAAAATAAAATAGTTACGATCCGTGACTATAAACCTGAGGAGGAAATTCATACATGAGGGGATAGGACTTTTCATAGCTCAGAACATCGAGTAGTTGCCCCTTCTGCCTCTTTTTCTCCTATCCCTGCAAGTTCCATCACAGCGATTTCTCTATTACAGCTCCTGGTTTTCTCCTTTGCTTTCGTCTCTTAAAACATCAATGTGTCTTTGTCCTCCCTGAGTAGATGTTGGCTTGTCAAGAGACCCCAACAGGTAATCCACAGGTATTTAGGTCAGAAATCTGGTCAAGTTTTTGAACTTCCAGAAACTCTCATACCGGAATTTGTCTTCCCCCAAATTAATTTTTTAATCACCTTATTCCTTCTGGAGATATTGGATTTCTGCTGATTTGCAGGATATGAGGTCACTAACCAGGCTGTCTCAGCCATCTCTATGAATGTACACTTTTACAATTGTGATGACTCATTCCCACTATTTTGATTCTTAATATATTCCAGGTTTTGCAACAGGTTACAATGCATAAGGAAATTATAAAATAGAGTCCTTAAAGAGACCTTCATTCAAATAAATATTGCTACTAAAATCGAATTTAAAATTGACTAATTTCATATGTTTAGACAATGCTGCATTTATGAAATGTTATGAAACATTTTTCACATCCATTATCAACCGATAGCCCTGTGAAGTAATTGCATTAGCCCTATCTTATAGACAAGTAAGACTTAGACCATTTCAATGCCTACAATCGCATAGCCAAGACCTGCCCCCAGACAAGGGCTATTGGGACTAAATTAATAACCTTTCCACTTTACTGAGATTTATTGAGAAAAGAAAACTATAGTGATGACCTTGAAAATGTTACCGTTTTTTGCTTTTCTTTTTCCATACCGAAGGAGAGGCTTAGAAATGGACTGATGTCTCTAGAACCTTGGTGGCCTAACATTTTAGGAAATTTCCCCCTTTTTATTGTACAACCAAGAAGCCCTGTATGTGCCAAAGAAACATGTATTGGTGGATTAAGATAACAGTAGAGCTTCTAGGAGAGGTACTGAGGTAAAAACCTAGGACCACTCATAGCCCATGCCCTGACTTTGCAGCTATTAGAAGGCTCTCCTTCCTCCAGAAAGATGTAGCCCTCATCGATGGTGGTTTGGTGAGCACAGTGCAAGCTGGTTTCGGTGCCCCCGCAAGCCAAGTCCCTCAACTGGGTGCATTTGTGCAAGGCACTGTTGATTAGCTTTCTGATCTCTTTAACATGAGAACAGGAGGCTCATACTATGAGATTTAAGTATCTAGACATTGTCTGCAAATTCCTGACAATAAGTCATTTTGCTTCAAATGTGTGAACTCTGCAGTTTTCCTCTCCATTCTAAGATCTCTGTCCTTCTTGGGAGTGGTTGCAACCTCCTCATAGGAGTATGGCTTCCAATAACATGGTAGGTCAAAAGTCTGCAAGGCCAGAATCAATACACACTTCCTTTCTTTGTCCCTCTGTTTATTCCATCTTTCAGTATTTGATTCCCTATTGTGTGCCCTGTGATACAGCCCTGAAATGAATGGATGTAGCCCTTGTCCTCCCAGAGTTTACACTTGGTGGGGTAATAGAAAAAGAAAAACAATTACAGCTTAGTGTGATGACTGCAATGTCAGAAGTTAGCCCAGGACACAGGAGGGTTGTCCAACCCAAGCTTGAAAGTCAGGCAAGTCTTCTCTGGGGAAGTTCCAGCTAAGCTGACACTAAAAGATAAATAGGAATTTTCTGAGCAAAGAAGTCAGGGTGGGGCATGGGGCTGGAGAAGGTGGGAATAGCAGGAAAGAGTGGTCAAGGATGAGAGGACACGGTTTGTAAAATTTGGAGGCAAAAAGACACAGCCCCTTGAAAAAGTTGTATCTACATAGAACTCATTCTTCTGCTGTGTTCTCAGCTCCTGAGTTTCCCCTTTTACTCCCCAGTATCCTTGGCCTTGTTCATGGATCCCAATCCCCATCTTTATCTTTAGTCGCTGATCCTATCCAACCGGGCCAGGAAGCAGTATACCGTTGGAGAAACAGTGAACCTGATGTCTGTGGATGCCCAGAAGCTCATGGACGTGACCAACTTCGTCCACCTGCTGTGGTCAAATGTTCTACAGATCGTCTTATCCATCTTCTTCCTGTGGAGAGAGTTAGGACCCTCAATTTTAGCGGGCATTGGGCTGATGGTGCTCCTAATCCCAGTTAATGGTATAATCGCCGCCAAGAATAGGACTATTCAGGTAAAGAAACAGTATCCCCCTGGGGATATATAGACCTTCTTCAAAGTCTAAAGTCTTTGGCTTATTTTATTCTAACTCTTGGTGGGGGTTTGGGCAAGGCAAAGCTGCTGGAAGACTTTTCACCATCCCAGGTGAACTTGGCTTTCTCTTTTAATCTTCTGACCATTCTTAGGATTTATATACTCCATTCATGTTAGAGGCAAGAGCCTGATTGGAGAGAGAAGAGCTGCTCAGGGACCCTGCACATAGCTCTTCCACCCTGCTCCACGGGGCTGTTCTTAGAAGAGTGTTTATTGGCCCTGTGTCTCCATCAGAGCAACACAAACCCACCACACACAGCACTCACCCAAGGGACTCAGACTTGAAGCCTGAGTCCTGGCAATCAACCCTGCTGTGCAGAGTTAAACGGTGATGTGATAGTGAGTTGGCTAGGTGGCTGTTTTAGGTTATGGTGTCAGGAGAGCCCTCTGTGAGGAGGGGACATTTGAGCTGAGCTCTGCACAACACAAGTGTGACCAAGGAGGAGTGAGCCTTCAGAAAGACAACCCGGGAAGAGGGCAGAGTCAGGCCAAGGCTGGGGGCAAAAATGAGCTTGGCACTTTCAAGAATCAGAAAGAAGGTGGGTTTGGCAGAGACAGAGTTAGCAAAGAGGGGAGTGGGGGAGACACATCTCATCACTGGGCACCTCAAGTTCTTACCAGTGACAGCCCAAATGTCACCGAGACCTAACATCTGCAGCAAATCTGGAAACTCTCACATGGAAGTGTGTTTTGTTTTTATTGTTTCCTTGTAGGTAAAAAATATGAAGAATAAAGACAAACGTTTAAAGATCATGAATGAGATTCTCAATGGGATCAAGGTGAGAAGCCAAGGGTAGGCGGCCCTCTGGGTGCAATGACAGCAGCAGTGGGCGCTTGGCCTTAACAAACCCTGGTAGAGTCTCCTGCCTCTAGGCCCATGGGTGTCACGTGACTCCTGATTCATCTACC